TCCACAAATTGACTGATTTTGGGGAGTGAAAAACTGTCTTTGGGATAAGACTTATTTAGGCTAGTGAAATCCACGCAGACCCTCCACTTCCCATTCTTCTTCTTCGCAACAACTATGTTTGACAACTAAGTTGGGTAGTTTACCTCTTAAATGGCTCTGGCCTCCGGCAGTTTATCCACCTCCACTTCTACTGCCTCAACATGCACCAACGTCGGTCTCCTTGCTCGTTGGATGACAGGTTTAGTCGATCTATCCACATTCAGTCTATAGCAAGTGACTTTGGGGTCAATGCTAGGCATCTCGTATGGCATCCAGGAAAACACCTCAATGTTTGCTCGAAGAATGCCTCTAACTCCCTTTCCTCCTCCTCGGCCAATCCTGAACCAAAAAGGAAAAAACGCTATTCATTCCCTTGTTGGACTAGAATCTTTCTTCAGGGCTTCCTCACTCTTCTTGACTGGTTATTTGCTGACATCATCTAGGACCTCCGTATCCTCATCCTCAATCCCTATTGTTTCTGTTTCTTCACAAGTTGCAGGCGGATTTCATAGCTGCCATGTAGTAATTCTTTGCCTGCACCTGATCTCCTCTGATCTCCTCAATTCCATGCTCTGTTGGGAACCGTAGTAGTTGGCACAATGTTGAGGGAACAACCCTCATTGTCTGCAACCATGGCCTTCCCAAGATAACGTTATAAGGTGAGGGGGTGTCAATGATTGTAAAATCTGTGCTCACCTTCCTGGTGCTTGCCTACACCTCCAAATTTGTTTCCCTCAAGGGCCATGTCGGTGTTCCATTGAAACCGACCATTGGACTGTTGGATTGCTCCAGATCATCTTGGTGGAGGCCAAGCTCCTTGTAATATCTGACATACATGATGTCACAAAAGCTGCCTTTGTTAATTAGAATGTGCCTCACCTGGCACTCTCTAATCTTTAGGGATATCACTAGAGCATCGTTGTGTGGGTGCTGCACCATGTCTAGGTTGGCTTCAGTAAAGGACACCATTGGTCCCAGGTACTCGTCTGCCATAGGCCTTTTTTGCTGGACCTGATACACATGCTGTAAGTGTTTCACCCTTTGAGTCTCCCCACGTATCTCATTCTCAATGACCTTCGAGTGAATCACATTGATCACTCGGGGTCCGTCTGCCTGCGGTTGTGGTGTTGGTGGAGGTGGTGCTGCCGGTGCTTGGGGCAGCCTTGCTTGCTCTTGTCTTGTTCTAGCCTCATCCACCAGGTTCCTTAAGTGACCTTGTCTTACCAGGTCTTCCAGATGTGTCTTTAGGGCTTTGCATCCCTGAGTCAGGTGCCCATCCTCATTGTGGTAGGCACAGTGCCTCCCCAGGCTTCTTTCCATAAATTTGCAGGGATCTTCTCTGGTGCTCTGTAGTAAGACTGATTCCTGATCCTTTCCAGGACTTTGTAAACCGGGATTCGAAACACCGTGGTGACTGCTTGTACAACCTTTAGTCATGTTTCTTGTCTATTAAAATTTGTATTACCTCGGCCTCGCTTCGGCGAGCCCGTTCCTTTTCTCTTGCTTTGACGCCTTTGTCCCTGACGTGTCTTCCTTTGCTCTCGAATATTTCTCGATCCTGGCCATAAATTCCTCCATTCTTTTTGGCAATATCTTTGCTAATGACTTTCTAAGCAGACAGTTATCGTTCAGGCCGTTCTTAAAAGATATGACCGCTACCTCTTGGTTGTACCCTGGTATTCGGTTAAACACCTCATAATACCTCCTGGCATAAGGCCTGAGGCTTTAATCCTCGCCAATTCTCAAAGCCATCAGGGAGTCTACCCTCAACGGTTGTAGTTTGTTTGTAACAAACCTGGCCACAAACATCTCGGCCAGGCCTTTCGAACTTCTCACAGTTCCTTTCGACAACTTGTGGAACCAATATGATACGATTTCTCCAAAGGACGAGGGGAACACCTTACAGAGCAATGGCTCGTTCCCGATATATAGTGCCATTGTGTTCAAATATAAGCCAACATGAAAGTTAGGATCGGACTTTCCGTCGTATATTTGGAACCTTGGCATGTGAAACCTTTTCAAGGCCTCAAACTTATCCAATTCTACTGAGAACGGCGTTCTCGGCTTGACCAGAGATGTTACCTCGGCATCTTGTTGCTTCCTCTGGAGGTAATCCCTCAAATCCTCCTCAGTCCGTCCAGGAGCTCAGTCACCAGATTTCAGCCTTTTTGGTGCACTGCTCTCGATGTCGTTATGAGTCCTCTTGAACCTCCCTTCGTTCATTGTATCAAAACAAAGCTCATTTCCTTGAACATGCAGATGTTCTTTGACGTAGGTATCTTTGGTATCTTTGGCATGATGCATGTTTCGAGACTCTTCTCTTATCGATTCTCCTCACCCGACCTCTTGTGAAGGCCGAGGAGAATGCTCCCTTGCCTTGTTATGCTGAGGGACTGCAGGGATTGCTTTCTGTCCCCCTTTCTAGGCATCGTTCTTGGCCGCTAGAATCAGGGTGTCCTCAAATGGGAACGGTGGCTGTATGACGTTGTTCTGCATCATGAAATTGACAACCGATTGCAGGTTTGCCAATTTGTTTGCCATCCCTTCATCTCGCCGTCCCTCCTTAGGCATCTATCTTTCTATACCTGAAGGTCGCTTTTGTTGTAATACCCATCCTGACATGCTTTCTTCGGTACGTCTCATTCTTGGTTGACATTTATTTCTCCGGGATTCTTATCCCGAGGTTCTTCGTTACAGTTGTCCTTCTCTACATTTGGATCGGCGTTTTTACCACTCTCACTAGGGATGTCGTCCCCAATCTTTTCTTTCTGCCCATCGTTGGCCATCTGTTCTCCTTACGCTTTCCACAGACAGTGCCAAATTGTGTGTGCTGATTTTCGACCACACTGCCAAATAGGAACTGAGTAGGAGAGCATAAGCAGAATAGATCGCGCCCGAACAACTTGACACAGAAAGATAAGACTCCAGCGGTGGTTCGTCCACCCGGGGGCACTCCGACGATCAAGTCAGTACTTAGTTATCTCTCAAAGATAGCAAAAAGTGCTTAACTCACAAGCCAGAATATAAAAAGCGTACCGTAGACCCACGAGGGTGCCTTACTTTTATAACCAGCACTAACCTGATCCTTGTAGAAGTCTAGCTTCAATGGACTTTGGCTCAATGCTCATCCTGGACTCCCAGCCAGATAAAGATAAATTCCCCAAGAGCCTTATCTTTATCTAGACTGAGGTCCTCTCCCATTCTAGGACTCTTGTCCCCTATCTGCTTATCTCAGATTTCGGTATCTCCGCAGATAACCTTGGCCTAGCCGAGATCACCTTGGCGCCATGACTAAGACATGTGGCACCTCGGCTGACACTTCGGTGTCACCTTGGCAACGTGTTGTGATTCACAAAATATGCCTCCACAGTTCCTATGTGTGGTAGGAAGTACACTTGGAGTAATTCATAGTGTAGGTTGGAGTCGATTGGATAGATTTTTATTAAATTCGGAATGGCTAGAGTAGTTTAACTTCAAGGTTTGGGGCCTACCTAGAATTTTTTTTGATCATTGCCCAATCTTCTTGTAGAAAGATGAGCGGGATTGGGGTCCCAAGCCATTCAGATTTATAAATGCTTGGGTGTTACATCCTAGTTTTATGAAAGTATTTAAACAGGTTTGGAATGATACACAAGTGGAGGGGTGGGCTGGATTTAGATTAATGATCAAATTGAGATCATTTAAACAAGCCTTGAAGATTTGGAATGTGGAGGTATTTGGTCATGTGGAGTCTAAACTTAAAGCAGTTGAAGATGAGTTACATGCTTGGGACCTCACTATTGAAGGGAGAGAGCTTTTAGAAGATGAAGTTAGAAAAAGAATTAATGTTAGAAATGAAGTATGGAAGCTTAGGAAAAGGCTAGAGTGGATCTGGATGCAAAAATCCAAATTGAATTGGGCCTTAAAAAGGGATAAAAATACTAGGTTTTTTCATATTATGGCCTCTAGAAGGCATAGTAGGATTTTTTTTTGACTCATTAAAGATTAATGATACTCTTTATGAGGAACCTATGGAGTTGAAACAAGTAGTGTGGCCTCACTTTAAAGATTTGTTTACTGAAGGGTGGTAGATTAGACCAAGATTAGGGGGTGAGTTCAGATGTATTGAACAATGTCAGCTCCAGAATTGCTTGGTAAAAGATTTTTCAAAAGAAGAAGTTTGGGCTACAATCAAGGAATGTGATGGTACTAAAGCCCCAGGTCCGGATGGGTTTAATGTGACTTGTATTCAAAAGGGATGGAAGTTTATGAAGGGTGATATCATGGAGTTCATTAAAGAGTTTCATGCTAATGGTGTGTTGGGTAATGGAATAAATTGCTCTTTTGTGACCCTTGTTCCTAAAGTGGATAGCCCTGACTTAATTAAAGATTTTCGATCTATCAGTCTGATTAGTTCAGTTTATAAAGTGGTGTCCAAAGTACTGGCCAACAGGTTTAAATTAGCACTGCCAAAGATTATTGATAGAGTAAGTGGAAGGAACTTTATGGATGGTATCCTTGTCGCAAATGAGATTGTGGATTGATGGAAGAAATCTAATAGAAAGGGTCTCATTATTAAGCTTGATTTTGAAAAATCTTATGACACTGTCAATTGGAACTTCCTAATTCAAATATTAGAGAATTTTGGCTTTGGTCCTATTTGGACCAAGTGGATAAAGGGATGCATTTCCTCTGCAAGAGTGTCAGTTCTTGTAAATGGATCACCATTACTAGAATTCTGTCCACAGAAAGGATTAAGACAAGGTGATCCCTTATCCCCTTTTCTATTTAATGTTGTAGCTGAGGGATTGAATATTCGTATTTCAAGAGTGAAGGATATGGGTTTGTTTAAAGGCATTTCAGTAGGTGATGCTAGTTTCAATGTGTCTCACTTACAATTTGCGGATGACACAGTGATTTTCTGTGAGGCATAATGGTCTGAAATATTGGCTATGAAAAGAATCCTTAGGTGTTTTGACGTAATGTCAGGTCTAAGGATTAATTTTTACAAAAGTGTTGTGCGTGGGGTGGGTGTGGCAGATGAAATGGTTAAAGAGTTTCCTACAAAATTGAATTGTTCAAGTAAGAAGTTACCTTTGAAGCATCTAGGACTACCATTGGGGGCTAGTCCTAGTAGGAGGTTGACTTGGAGGCCAGTTGTGGAGAAGTTCAAGAAGAAGTTATCTAGCTGGAAGAGAAGAGTTCTGTCATTTTCTAGTAGAGTTACGCTCATTAAATTTGTGTTGTCTGCATTACCTATGTATTACTCGTCTATTTTTAAAATGCTAGAGTGTGTTGCAAAAGAGATTGACAGGATTCAAGCATCATTTTTGTGGGGTGACTCAGAGTTTATTAGGAAGCTCCATTTAGTTCGGTGGAAAGAAGTTTGTATGAGTCTGAAATAGGGTGGGCTGGGAATAAAAAATCTCAGGCTCGCTAATGACAGTTTGCTGTTGAAATGGTGGTGGGGGTACGGTCAAGAGAATGAGGCATTGTGAAAGATGGTTATCTGTGAGAAGTATGGCTCTTTTGGGGGAAGATGGTTCCCTAATCAGATTGCTCATGGCCAAGCATCTCAGATTTGGAAGGATATATTATCTATGGCCCATAGAAATGGAAGTCTATTTCAATTTTACAAGGATTAGTGGAAATTTTAATAGGTAATGGAGAAAAGATTAGTTTTTGGTCAGACATTCGGTTGGGTTCAACAAATCTATCAAGTCAATTTCCTAGATTGTTCTAGTTGGTTATTGATAAAGTGAGTTCCTTGAGCATACAAGTAGCTCGAAGGTCTAGTCAATCTGGATGGGGCTTCAATTTCAGAAGACAATTTCGGGCTTGAGAAGAAGGTGAATTGGCCAGATTTGTCACTGTTTTGGGGGACTGGCCCTGTTCTAAGAAGTGATTTAGTTGATTGTTTTGGGTGGAAGTCTTCACAGTTGGGTACCTTCAAGATTCATCTTGCTTAAGATTGGGGTTTGATTAATGATGGTCCGTGTTACAGATCAGTTGATATTATATGGAATAATTTCTCACCACTTAAAGCAAAATTTTTCTCTTGGTTAGCTTGGAGAGCTAGACTAAAAACAAAAGAGCTATTGCATAGGTTTGGAATTTTGGTAGGGGAAAATGTTCAGACTTGTATTTTCTGTCAACAGGACAATGAACCAATTCACCATGTTATGCTTCATTGTCCTTTTGTTTAGAAGATTTGGTCTACTATAGCCGAATGGTGGGGCTTTCAGTGGGCAATTCCCAGATCCATTGATGATTTATTACTTTGGTGGTTGGGTTGGAAGTTTAAGAAGAAAGTCAAGCAGGTGTGGAGGGTCTTACCAGCAACAGTATTGTGGTCTGTGTGGAGATACCGTAATGAATGTGCTTTTAAGGCAGTCCATCCTCATATTCATGATCTCTGTGAATGTATAAAGGTGATGATATCAATTTGGATGAGATCCTATTTTACTAGTGCCTCATTTTTAGTTAATGATGTTGTGTTCAATTTTCACCAAGTTAGAAGCTGTTTAGGAGCCTCATGAATTGCTTATGGTATGAGAGAGTTCTGCTGTGGGTATTTTCCTTGTTTGCTGATTGAGCTGTTGCTGTGTCTAATTTCGGTCTGGTAGGGATGTTTTTTTTTTGGTTCTATTTTGTTGTTTAAGTCTCAGATGTTGGTATGGTTGTTTTAAGACTCAGATGAAGATGGAGGTGCTACTGTGGGTACAAGATCCAGGTTTTATCTTCTAGTGTAGGTTCTGAGCTGCTAATGAAGATGAAGTTGCTGCTGTGGGTATTTTCATTGTTTGTTGAACGAGGTGTTGCTGTGGATGATTTTGGTCTGGTGGGGATGGTTTTTTTTGTTCTGTTTTTGTTGTTTGAGTCACAGATACTAGTATGGGTGTTTTGTGACTTGGATGCTGCTATTCAACAGTTTTTTTGTTTTTTGTTTTTTGTGTTTTTGGGTTTGGCTTCTGGTCACCCCTTTGGCTTGAGCTAGCTTATCATTGGGTGTTTCCCTTGGTGCTAACATAGTTGGGATGAAGGGTTTCGCTATGATGCTTTTTGCTCACCTCCGCTTTATTGATGTTGTCCATATGTATGTATGTAGATACTATCAATGAAGTTTTTTTGCTGATAAAAAATAAATTAAAATAAAGAGTTTCAATAATGAAAAAAGAAATGACAGAATTTTTTAAGGTGTGTTAATACATCCCTTTCTTTTAAGACAATATTCATGTTGTGAAGTAATCTTGCTTCACTATAAAACAATTTCCACCGGCCTAAGAACTGGCCGAAGAGTAGAATGGAGGCTGCAAATCAAGATTGTCAAAAATAGCAGCTGCAAATCAAGTTTGTCGTTTGAAATTTGTTGCCTCAGCCGTAGTTGAATTTAATGCGTTTACATTGTTAGTTTTATCTATATATAGCTATTGTATTATGAGAGTTCAAGTGTGGGAGAAAAGAAGAAGAAGAGTGCTTTCTATTTAGTTTTTCATAATTATATTTGAGTGAATTGAATTTCAGTTTGGTTCAGTTTTAAGCCTCTCATTGTGAATCACCAACAGTGGTTTGCACCCCACTCCCACTAACAAAAATCACTTTAATTCCATTGGATCAAGCCTATGGAAAGAAGAAACAGAGTGCCTTTCATGGCTTGACTCGAAACAACCCAATTCAGTCATTTACGTCAACTTTGGCAGCATCACTGTTATGCCACCCCTACAATTGATTGAATTCGCCTGGGGACTCGCTAGTAGCAACCAAACATTCTTATGGATCATTAGGCCTGATCTGGTTGTTGGTGACTCCGCGATTCTTCCACCGGATTTTGTGAGTGAGACTAAAGAAAGGAGTCTATTAGCAAGTTGGTGCCCTCAAGAACAAGTCCTCAATCATCCAGCAATTGGAGGTTTCTTGACACACTCTGGGTGGAATTCGACTCTTGAGAGTATTTGCAGTGGGGTCCCTATGTTGTGTTGGCCATTCTTCGCGGATCAACAGACGAATTGTTGGTTATGTTGCGGCCAATGGGGTGTTGGGATGGAGATAAACAACGATTTTAAGAGAGAGGAAGTTGAGAGAATGGTCAGAGAGTTGATGGCTGGAGAGAGGGGGAAAGAGATGAAAAGAAAGGTCATGGAGTGGAAGAAGTTGGGTGAAGAGGCCACGACTTGTTCTGTTGGGTCATCTTACTTGAATTTTGAGAAGATGGTCAGGTTTGTGCTTATGTCTGCTGGTTCAAATCAAAGTAGTTAGTGTGTGTGCACATTTTCATCTTACAAGCAATTTCTGAAATAAGTTGTTTCTTTTTTCTTTCTTTTTTTAATTGTTTGGAATAATCTTGTACAAGTATTGTCTTGACAGGGGGTTAGGGATGGATTTGTATTTTGATTTCCATTGTGTCTCAAAATTGTATTATTATGCTTTTTTTAATAAAGAACATGTTCTTGTTGTAGTTTTTTTTTTCTTAATTTTTTTTCTATTTTTGTCATTAAATAATGCCATATACATAATTTTAGGTTATTCTTTAATCCAAATAAGCTTTCCTCCAATCAAGATTACTGAACCCTCTTCCTGCCACCAAAAATGGAACTTGTGTTCTGTAATTTTATTTTTTATTTTTTTATATCTAACAGCATAAAATATCATAATTTTATTATCATTTGTGATATAATTTGATTAAGAGTCGTTCTAACAAATGCTCCTATGATAAAAGAAAATATAAAAAAAAAAATGTAGATTCCTAGATAAATAGCAATAATTTAGCTTCTTTTTATTTTATTTTATTTTAGAGTGAAAGTTATAGCACATATGGACAAGACAGTTGGCCAAGTGGTCAATGTAGATATCCATTGGGACATTAAGAATGCGAGAGTTTCGTATTCGAGTGATTGCGACTCTTTCATTGACTGCTTGAATATAAAAAAAAAAAAAAAAAAGAATGCCATGAGGGGAGATTTATTTAATCAGTAAGTGATTGTTTGGGGTTTGTTTATTTATTTATTTTTATTTTTTGATTTATTTTTGGCTTCAACAAAAAAAAAAAAACTAAATTTAAAAAACAAAATTAGAATGAGAAAAAGTTTTAAAAAAATAAAATTTTCCAAAAAAAAAAGAGTTTAAAATGGACAAAAATAAGTATAAAAAAAAAGTAGGCTTTTTTGACTTGTTTTGACTTTTTCAATTATTTTTTTTTTTTGCAAAATTTTTCAAAATTACATTTTAGATTCATCTTCATAAGATATATATATATATATATATATATAAATTTTGATATAGTTTTTTTAAAAAAAATCACTCCAGTAAAAAAAATTTAAGAAGTGACATTTTTCTTTATTTCCAAACTGACTCTAAAATGCTCGGACAAATTTTGTACTTTCTACCCATCGGGGGTGGTGGTGGAGTGGAAATGCGTTGGCTTTTTACATAGGTGGACATGACTCGATTTTTGAGGACACGACTAGCCAGGTATGAATTTGGTGAATGCTAACAGTATTATACTTTGCTCGTAACTTTGCCTCTTGTGATGGGGGTTGTTTCATTCTCCGCTTTCTCCGATGGTGGGTCGCTTTTTTTGAGTTGAGTTAAATCTAACTGTCAACCGATTATTTCAGAACCAAAACTCACAAATATTATGACATCTCTCCGGAACGACCTTTTTAAAAAAAATTATCCTTTTTAATCTTATTTGGATTTTCATCTGACAATTTCTCAATAATTAAGACATATAATACTATTAAAATATTATATATCATAAAAAAAGGGAAATTTATTGGAAAGTCCTAATTTGGGGACTGTTGTATTATTTGGTCCCATGTTTTAAATGGTTGATTGGACAGTCCTTATTAGGAGTAATGTGTGACTAGTAAGTCCTTTTTCAAATATAGATGAGAGTTATTTAGACGAATATAACCTCAATAGTTAAGTTGGAAAGTTTTTTTTGGGAATATATGATCACACGATTTGGAGAGAGGGGAGTGAATTTCAGTTTACAAAGGGTTCGAAGGGGGGAATTAGGGTTTTGAATCTTTCTTGTTAATGAGGTGGGCGAGGAGTGTTCTACAGATGACGTGGACATATGACACACTGTGGGTGGAATTCAACTCTTGAGAGTATTTGCAGTGGGGTCCCTATGTTGTGTTGGCCATTCTTCGCGGATCAACAGACGAATTGTTGGTCATGTTGCAGCCAATGGGGTGTTAGGATGGAGATAAACAGCGATGTTAAGAGAGAGGAAGTTGAGAGAATGGTGAGAGAGTTGATGGCTGGAGAGAGGGGGAAAAGAGATGAAAAGAAAGGTCATGGAGTGGAAGAAGTTGGGTGAAGAGGCCACGACTTGTTCTGTTGGGTCATCTTACTTGAATTTTGAGAAGATGGTCAGGTTTGTGCTTATGTCTGCTGGTTCAAATCAAAGTAGTTAGTGTGTGTGCACATTTTCCTCTTACAAGCAATTTCTGAAAGAAGTTGTTTCTTTTTTCTTTCTTTTTTTAATTGTTTGGAATAATCTTGTACAAGTATTGTCTTGACAGGGGGTTAGGGATGGATTTGTATTTTGATTTCCATTGTGTCTCAGAATTGTATTATTATGCTTTTTTAATAAAGAACATGTTCTTGTTGTAGTTTTTTTTTCTTAATTTTTTTTTTCTATTTTTGTCATTAAATAATTCCATATACATAATTTTAGGTTATTCTTTAATCCAAATAAGCTTTCCTCCAATCAAGATTACTGAACCCTCTTCCTGCCACCAAAAATGGAACTTGTGTTCTGTAATTTTATTTTTTATTTTTTTTTTAAGAAAGTGCACAAGTTGAATTATATTGAAAATTTATAAAATTATAAACTGTCAAACCGATTCGCATTCATCCTTCAATCTGCCAATCCGCTCAATCCACATCCGCCGGATTAGTGGACGAATAGGGATTGATTTTCTCTAATCCGCCAATCTGGCGGGATGGATGGCAAATTGGAGGTTCCGTGGTCGCAATCGACCCACGCCACCCCTAGTTTAAATACCCATCACAATTTTCCTCTACAATTAATGTGGGATTTGTAACTATACACAATTCTCAATACCTCATTCATGAGACTAATTTTATGAGATAATTTCTCATTCAATTCTTAATAATTTTTTGTCATTCTTTTTGTGATCTAAAAATCTTATTACAAATAATCTAAATTTATTTAATCCTACCTCAATCAATGGTTGGGACCTATTTTAATTTCACATTAAAATCACCATAAAACCATTTTTTCCAACAAAACGAATCAAATAATTTAAATTTGACTTGTATTTAATTTGTTAAAAATTCGTTTGAGTTTAGTTTGTTAGGTAAACAAATCTATCTTGTCAAACTTGAATACATTTTTAAACTTGTTAAAAATTTTAAACTAATCTTAAATAGTCAATTACTTATTCCGCTTGGTTCAATAAGTCTAACACGATATAAAAGTACTAAATTACTTGAGTTCTCGACTCAACAAAAACTCGTTTGAAATCGATTCAAAAGTTTCACAAACTAAACTTAAATAAATTTTAAAATTCTTTAAAATTTTTAAACCAAACTTAAATAGTTAAATGTTTGGCTCGTTTAGTTGAAAAAATTATAAATAAGTGGGACATTCTTAAAATAATTGTATTATAAGTATAAAAAAAAATATTACTATTATTAGTATTTTTTTTTAAGAAATTTGACATACAAAAAACACTATACTAAACACAAAAAAAACTTACAACATAAACCTAAAAGAATTACACAATCATTAAAATGAAATTATTTTCTTACCCTCTAACTGCAATGCAATGTTCTCAGACAGTTTGACCAAGGCTCACTGTGCTGTAATTCCCTTTTCACCAATAGTAACTGGCTATGATGAGATGAGCCCCATGTGGCAAATGAGGTGTAATATTGAAGAGCGTAAATTTGTTCAAAAGTGTGAACGTTACATTTCACGCTAATAGGTTCTTTATGAAATTAAAAGTGACATCACTTATTCAACTACCAATCAAAGCAATTCAATAATATTAACCAAAATATTTAATCAAAATCTCACATTATTACTTTAGTTAGTCATTTTTGTAATATACCTTGCCTTTTTATTTTAACTATTTTTTAAAAAAAGCGAAACCAAAACAAAATCAACAAATAACCATTACCCTCCCCTGAATTATATCATGATCTCTACATGCTAACAAATTGCAAAGTAACAAATTCTGCAAAGATTCTTGAAGGATCTTCTCAGTGAAATTATGATAAAACAACCTCAACTCGAGTTTCACGTGGCTTCGTTTTTCTAAGAAACACATTCCCTAGGAATCCACGAGGAAAACGTAAGAATTCTGATAAGAGCACTAATGATGGAAATGACAAGAAGTCATAAATATATATATAAAAAAAAAAAATCAAGATACATATATCACATCATTAATAGGTGGGGTTTACTATCAACTCATTAGAGTTCTATAATTAGAGCTTTAAAATTTTTTCCTCCAAAATATTGCTGGTTTAGATTGTTTTGAACTATGAATTATAATGTGATGATCTGAAAAATTGGTAAAAAATTGATTTTTTGACTTTTTTGTAACTTTTTATCTTTTTTGTGTTAAAAAAATTATTTTTTTTTGACTTTTTTGTATTAAAAAACTAAAGAGCTAAAAACTTAACTTTTTTAGCTTCTTCCCAAATTGTCCAAATATACCCTAGTAGT